ACTTACTGTGAGCTTTTAGAATATTTAATGATACATGGCTCCAACAGTTTTCATCTATTTATTCCTGAATGGAAGTAAATGAGGGGTGAATAATAATCATTGACTGAAAGGTGACGGGGAGAAGTGAAAAAGGCGCACCATGCGTCTGAGTGTGGGTGAATGAGCTGTTGTGAGCAGGACAGGAACCGGATCACATGGAGGGCAGACTCCCTGCCCTCCCATTCCGTTGCTCCTGCTTGGTCAGTGTCTGTCTGCTGTCCCATCAGGCTTTGGATGCCGTGAGGTCGAGGACATAACTTTCTTGTGATTGGTGCCCCGGTGCCCAGCACTGTGCCTAGCACAAAGTATGTGCTTAGTAAATATCAGCTTCGTTATGAGTGGGTTTGGTATCGCTTTCCTTTACCATTCATTATGAATGGGTTTGGTGTGCCTTTCCCCGCATTGGCAAACATTAGCTTGTTTCTCATGCACGCTTAACCTTTTCAACCTGCACCTCCCCTCCTTAGGGACTTCCAGACTTCGTTCGTGTTCCCAGCAAGGAGCCTTCTTCCTTGAAGTACAGCGGGCTCCCACCCCAGGGCACCTGAACATGTGCCTTTTCTTCCTTTCCTGGCCCCTAAATCTGATTCCCCTGATGACTAAAGCCAAGGTGACTCATCAGCTCACTTTCTGACAGCTGGAAGGGGCCAGACACATCAGCTTGTCCATCTGACTCATCTCCATTTGGTCCAGAGAGGTAAAGTGAATCGCCCAAGGCCACAGAGCAGGGCCAAAAGTAGGGCACAGACCTCCTCACTCTGAAGTCAGTGCCACGCTGCAGAATGAGCAGGTCCCTCCCCACAGTGCTACAGCAGAAGGGAAAAGTGTGTTCTCCTCTGAGTTGGAGATATCTTAAAAGCAACATACCATGAGAGTTACACATCACACAGCTTAAGTTGGCTCTGTCTACTCATCAAATTATTTAACCCCTCTGTCATCATCTATATCCTTTATTTTTGTATGCATTTCTATATTTAATGTAGGTAGTTAAATCTGTAAGATTGGTTTGTTAAAAGGAGAGAAGTTTCCTGTGTGTGTTTTTACATACATAAGTGGAATATAATGGTTCTGTTAGTATCATTCACTTAGTGGTGTCTTGAGGAAACTTTGCATGGCAGTGCATAGAATTATATTATTTTTTTTAAATTACTTAGTGTTTTTAGTTTTTAACAGATTCAATATAGTTCATGGATCCAGTTCTAAGAATACAATGATATTCCCTTCCTCCCTCCCTGTCATTTTTTAGTCGCTGCATAGCACTCTATAATATGCGTATCCCCTGGCTAATTAATCACTCCTGTATTAATTGGTACTCATTTATTTCTTCTCGTTTTTACTATTACCGTTCTGCAGTAGAATCTTTATGCAGATGCCCTTGTGCATATAGGTCATTGCCGCCAGGATACTCAGAGATGCAGAGACTGGGTCAGAGAGAACGCACAGTGGAAGCCCCCTTTCCTCTTCTGGAAATAGGCCGTGGCTGTCACCACCGATCCAGCGTGGCCTCGTGTGCTGGGCTCACATGGCCGCAGGCGTATATTTGGAACTGAGGGCATTTGGGGGAAATGACTCTTCCATCTTTTTCTTTCACTGTATGGAAAGTACATTGTGTTCCTGACCTTGAGGGAGAAAGAAACAAAGCTAATTTCCTGAGGTTGGCATTTAGCCTAGCGGTTGAGAGACCTGTTCAGGTGCCCATGTCCTACATTGGAGCCCCTGGGTTCAAGTCCTGGTTCCAACTCCTGATTCCAACTTTCTGTTAATGCATACCCTGGGGGGCAGCAGTGATGGCTTAAATAAGTGGGGTTCCTGCCACCCATGAGGGAGACCTGGATTGAGTTCCCAGCTCTCAGCTTCAAACTGTTGTGAGCATTTGGAGTGTGAACCAGTGGATGAGAGCTCTCTTTCTGTCTCTGTTTCTTCTTCCAAATGATTGTTTAATTGATTGGCTGATTGACAGCAAGCCTCCTCTTCTTTGCCAGGGAGTGAGATGAGTGCACTCGTGCTGTGTGGGCAACCCCTGTTTGCCTCTGTGACAGAACTTGGTATTACAGTTGTCATATACAGCCCCCTAAGCTTTGAGCCTCTTAAAGGGTAAAGGTGATGTTTTATCAATAGTTCTGTCCGCACATCAGCATGATGGTTAGCAGGTAACCACGCTGGATGGAATAAACTCCTGAATTCGATCCAGCGGCTACATGGTCGAATGCTTGACATGGGCACAGACTACTGAGAACTGCTAGGCCCAGAGAGGCAGCAGCCCAGGTTCTCCCTGGAGGAATGGTCGGCTCCTGGGGCAACAGGCAGCAAGCTCTGAGCGTCTGGGAATCCAAGCACTTGGGACAGATGTGATTTCGGCCAAAGTGACTTAAGTAGGAAGCACTAGGGGACTTCCAAGGGAGGCCTGGAGCAACGGGGAAGTGGCATTTGAGCTGTGCCTGGGAGGACAGGTCGCTGACTGCTCATAGAGCAGCAGTCCCGTGGCTGAGAACAGGTGACTCGAGACAGATGTTTCCGAAACGATTTTGTCACCATAGAGATAACCCTGAAGGTGGAGCGTTCTGTCTCCAGCTTTCTTCTCCAATCAGGCTGTCACCCCCAGCGGTCCCTCAAAGCCCTTCTTATTAGAGGTGGGCATTTGGCCTGGTGGTTAAGGTGCCAGCTAGGACACCCGTGCCCCACACTGGACTGCTTGGGTTCGATTCCCAGCTGTAGGTAGCTTCCTGCTAACAGACCCTGTCAGACAGCAATACAGCTCAAACACTGGGCTCCTGCACCCCAGTGTGGGAAACCTGGATGTGTCCTCAGCTCCCAGACTCCGTCCCGCACCGTCCCGGCCATTGTGGTCACTTGAGAGTAGACGGGAGCTCTTTCTCTCTCTTTCTGCCTAACAGATAAATAAAAATCTTTTTAAAATGTTCCTATCAAGGTCAGTAGTGACTTCATGCTTACTCGGTCTGATGGTCAACTTTTAGTGTTCTTTCTACCTGATCCATTAGCATCGGCTGCAGACCATTCCTTCCTCCCTCAGTTTCTAGAACGTCTCACTCATCTTCCTCGTCCTGACCGGTCATGCCTCTTCAGTGCCCTTTGCTGGTTTCTCCCCTGCGAGACTGTTTAGTTTGCTGTTGAAGGACCCAGGCTCTGCCCGTGGTGCCCTTCTGTCCTCTGCCTGCCCTCACTCCCTCGGTTGTCATATGTCGTGTCACATCTCACAGCTCTAGATACAGGCTACAGCCCCCTGCTTACAGAATGCGTGTCCCCGGCCTCATCCTCTTCAGTCCCTCCTCCAGCGTCTCAGCCTGAGCCCCGAGCCTACCTTCTGCTCGGAACCAGCTTCACTTAGAGACTTCCTCTTTTCAGGTGACCGGGACTTCACCGCTGCCACCCCCCAGACACCGACGTCAGCACCTTAGAAGCCACTCTTGAAGTCCTCAGGAAGCTGTGTTGGCTTTGAAAATACTCGCAAAGTCTTTTCTGTCCCCACCCTGCTCGAGTCGCCAGCCTCTCCAGCAGCTCCCTGCGCGGCTTCCTAACTTAGAGCCTTGCCGCACCCAGACACCGGTGCCGCGGGGCACCGTGTGTTCTCACACTCCCGCCGAGGGGGTCGTCTTGTATTCCTTTGCCCCTGATCCCCCAGAGCCCTCCCGTTTTACTTGGACTAAAAGCCCACGTCCTCACAGTGGCCGACAAGGCCCTTCAAGATGCGCACTCCGGCCCCTGCCTGCCATCACCTCCCCAGCGTCCCTCACCCAGGCCAGGCGGCCCTGGGCAGGGCTTCCGTACTGCCCGTCCTCCTGTAGCCTCTCCCCAAGGAGTCCAGGGCTGGCGCCTTCACCTTCCCATCTCTGCTTAAATGTCACCGTCCCCATTGTTCTCTACTTCCCTTACCTGCCCTCCTTTTGTTTAAATTTTTTTTCTTTTCTGGAAGCACTTATGACCCAACATACTGTGTCTTCTGCACTGGCGTGCAGGCTGCATGAGGGCAGGAGTCACGCGTGGCCTCTGCTGTCATATCCCACCTGTCTGGAAGAGCGCCCCACACCCACTAGGCCTCTCAGTAAATGTTTGTCAAATCAGTAAGGAATCTTAGTTGTCTCTTGGACAGGGACCCAAAATGCCTGACTGTTTTTCTCTCACTTTGCTTCTCTGAGCAGGCAGTGTGATAGGAAGGAATGGGCCAGACCGGGGTCTACGCTCAGGGCCACGCTCGCGGTTTGTGTGACCGTGGGCTAATGGCAGTTGTGTTGGGTTTGCAGAAGCTTCCTGCAGTGCTACATTTTCTTGCACATAGATGTGTGTTTTCTGAAGTTCCCCGTACTCTGAAGACGACTGCCGCCGACGCGAAGGAGGTGTCTCCCTCACCTGTAATCTCTCTCTGCAGATTTTAGATCAGAGTAGAGATTCTGTGTGCTTTTGCTTTTTTTAAAAAAAAGATTTATTTATTTATTTGAAAGTTAGAGTGACACACAGAGAGAAGGAAAGGCAGAGAGAGAGAGAGAGGTAGAGAGAGGTCTTCCATCATTTGGTTCACTCCCCAATTGGCCGCAATGGCTGGAGCTATGCCAGGAGCCAGGAGTTTCCTCCAGGTCTCCCATGCTGGTGCAGGGCCAAAGGACTTGGGCCATCTTCTACTGCTTTGCCAGGCCAAAGCAGAGAGCTGGATTGGAAGTGGAGCAGCCGGGACTCGAACTGGCACACCCGTATGGGATGGCACTGCAGGCGGCAGCTTTACCCACTATACCACAGCACCAGCCCCTCTGTGTACTTTTTCACAAAACCACACACCTTAAATGTGTTCCCCGACTTAAAACAGCCAGAGCGTGACTCTTAAACAGCTGGGCAAGTACTTTGCAAAGTACAAAGACCCCATGCAGTGGATCTTGCTGACATCATTGCTCCTTCTTTAACAAGTTGACATTTTGTTCCAAAAAGTTTTGATCTCTTCCCATTTTCTACAGGGGACATGGTTGCTAAGTACCGAGAACCTTTGATCCACACCTTCCTGAGGGGGGCGAGAGACCCGGACAGCGCTCACAGGGCCAGCAGCCTCTCCAACCTGGGAGAACTGTGCCAGCGGCTGGACTTCCTGCTGGGCCCCGTGGTCCATGAGGTACTGTATGTCGACTTCTTGCTCTAAGGCTTTCTTCGCTTGGACCTACATGGTACATTGGGATTGGGATCAGGAGACCTCTGTTCTTCCTCCCTGGGAGACACAGCAAGGAAGGCTTTGTTTGACTTGTGTGTGCTCTGGAAGTTTTACTACGGGTGGAGCATCCCTAATCTGAAAATCCAAAATCCAAAACTTTGTGTGTGCCAGCATGATACCACACATACAAAATTTCACACCATGAAGCTCTGTTTCATGTGCAGAATTACTAAAAATGGTACATGGTGTTGGGGTTTAATCTGGCAGGTATGGCACCTGCATCCCATGCCATATAGTACCTGGGTTTGGATACGACTATAGCTTCTGACTCCAGCTTCCTACCAAGGCAGGCCCTGGGAGGAAGCAGTGGGCTCACGTGACTGGGTTCCTGCTGCCCACATGGGAGACGTGGATTGTGTTGCCAGCTCCCGTTTTGGCCTTGGACAAGTCCTGGCTGTTACGGGCATTTGGGGAGTAAACCAGCAGTTGGGAGCACTCTTTATTTCTCTCTCCGTAGTTCTGTTTGCATCGCTAGACTATTCCCTTTCTGTCTCATAAGGAGACTGTAGCCTGCTGGCAGCATGTGATTTGCTATCAGAAGCACTGGAGAGGGGTCCAGCACTGTGATGTAGTAGGTAAAGCCACCGCCTGTAGTGCTGGCATCCTATATGGGCACCAGTTCAAGTCTCAGCTGCTCCACTTCCAGCTCTCTGCTGTGACCTGGGAAGGCACTGGAGGATGGCTGTGTGCTTGGGCTCCTGTATCCACTTGAGAGACCTTGAAGAGGCTCCAGGCTCTTGGCTTCGGATCTGCCCAGCTCCAGGCATTGTGGCCATTTGGGGAGTGCACCAGAGGATAAAAGACTTTTCTCTCTCTGTCTCTCTGCTTCTGCCTCTATTACTCTGCCTTTCAAATCTTTTTTTAAAAAGATTTATTTATGTTATTTGAAAGGCAGAGTTATGCAGAGAGAGGAGAGGCAGCAAGAGAGAGAAATCTTCCATCCGCTGGTTCAATCCCCAATTGGCCGCAGTAATCGGAGCTGCGCCGATCCGAAGCCAGGAGCCAGGAGCTTCCCCTAGTTCTCCCACATGGGTGCAGGGGTCCAAGGACTTGGGCCATCTTCTACTGCTTTCCCAGACCATAGCAGAGAGCTGGACAGGAAGTGGAGCAGCTGGATCTCGAACCAGCACCCATATGGGATGCTGGCGCTTTAGGCCAGGGCGTTAACCCACTGCACCACAGTGCAGGCCCCATCAAATCAATAAGTCTTTTTCTTTCTTTCTTTCTTTCTTTCTTTTTTTTTTTTTTTTAAAGAGGACTGGAGAAATGTCTTGGTTTGGTTGCTCAGGAAGATTGAGCTAAAGCAGATTTGTTAACAGTCAAGAAGTAGCATCTTTCTGGAGCTCACCCCCCTCCCCAATCCTGACCCATTTACAGATGGGAATAAATGCAGTCCCCACCCCACCTACTTGCCTGTGTTCGCTTGGGAAAATGATGACTTAGACTCTAAACTCAGTTTCTTGATCTAGGAAATGGGCTTAAAATACCTATAATGCAGGATTGTTGCAAGGATATAGAGATAATGTGTATTCTTCAAATGATTTTTTTTTTATTTTAATTTGAGCTACAGATAGAGAAACAGAGTCTGAGACAGAGAGAGCTGAACCAGAGAGAGAAAGCTCCCACTCACTTGTTCACTCCCCAAATGCCTGCAACAGTCCAAAAGCCAGGAGCTGGGAGCTTAGTCCAGATCTCCCATGTGGGAGGCAAGAACCTAATTACTTGACCCGTCACCATCGTATTCCACCATCAGCACTGACAGGAAGCTAGAGTCAGAAGCTGGAGCCTGGATTTGAACCCAGATACTCCAGTGTGGATTGCAAGTGTCTTAATTGCCAGGCCAAGCACCTACTCCTTGATATAATGATTTATTCAACAATATTTATCAGGAACCTACTGTATGAGAAGAGATATTCTAGACACCTAAGTCATAGCACTCTTCAAAATAGACAGTGATTCCCTTCTTCACAGAGTGAATGTTCTAGTGAAAGGAGACAATAAAGTGTGTAATCCATCAGTAAAGTGTCTGGTAGATTAGACAGTGATAGTTTCTTTGGGTAAAAAAAAAAAGAGTAGAGGGGGGTGATCAGGACTGTAGTGGTAGGTGTTAGGGAAGTGACTATTAAATAGGTTTTCCAGGTCAGCCTCATTGGAAAGGTGACATTTGAGTGACGATATTTTGTTCCTCTATATAAAGACTTGTTTAAGGAGCCTCTTGGTCATTTGGAGGGAGCTGATGATGACAGTGGTGAGGATGAGCAGCTGGTGGCCTTCAGACACCCCCAACCCCTGCAGTGTGTCAGGCCCTTTCTGAAGGCTGGGGATACTAACCTCCATGAGCTCCCGCCCTTCCTTCTGGGCAGGATCAGCTCATGGGATGGGTGCTGTGGGAGCACGCTGGAGAAGTGTGGGTGTTCACAAAGGTACCCTGGAGAAGAGACCCCTGGGGCAGGACACGTAGAAGCTGGCGAAGGCAGAGGTGCGCAGTGCAGGAGAGCGGGCGGCTTGTGCAGACGCACGGCAGCGTGGAAGTGATGTGTTCGAAGGACTCTGAATGCAGGCTGGAGTGACGGGGTGGGCGGTGGGGTTTGGGTGATGGCGGGCAGGGCCACAGCGCGAAGGCCTCGTTGCTTTATGCCTGCCTGGCTCACAACAAGGATTGTGCATTGCATATTTAGCCTGCAGAAAGGTAGTACAACCGGTGGCAGGCTGTTTTTCGACACAAGGGAAGCTCTGTTTGTGACCTTGAGACCGTCTTTATCTATTTCAACCTTAAATGGAGGGGAGGAGCCATTGGCAGATCCCAGACCTGAGCTGTTTGAGCAGCGCCAGTCCCAGAGTGGTCCTGGTTGCTAATAAATGGTGAGCACACCGGGGCAGGACCAGTTTTCGCCCATCTTTGCGTCCCTGCTAGTACCTGTGCCAGCACTGGGCTTGGAGTGGGTGCTGGGTGCTGGGTGCTGGGTGTTGCCTGCTGACTGCTGAATGAAGATGGGAGACTCTAGTCCCCGTGTGTACGGATGTCGTCGTCTGCGGTGCTGCAGCACAGCAGTGTAACCATGCCGGCAGCAGTTCATAGTATACTCAAACACAGCCAGCAGAGAGGATTTTGAATGTTCCCAACACAAAGAAACGATGAAGGTTTGAGGGGATGGATTTGCCAATTACCTTCATCTGATTTACTCATTGCACTCATTGTATACAAAGAACCTCCTTAAATATTACACTGTACCCCATGAATATGTATAATTACTCTATCAATTAAAAATACTTTTAGAGGTTTGTTTATATGTATATTTGAAAGGCAGAGTGATGGAGGGAGAGGGAGAGAATATCTTCCATTTACTGGTCACTTCCCAAAAGGCTGTAACAGCCCAGGCTGGGCCAGGCCCGTCAGGAACCGGAAACTCCATCCAGATCTCCCAAGTCGGTGGCTGGAACCTGGTCACTTGGGCCATTATCTGCCGCCTCCCAGAATGCATTGTGAGAAAGCTGGATAAGGTGTGCAGAGGTGGGACTGTATCCCCGGCACTCCGGTAAGGGATGTGGGCATCCCAAGTGGCAGCTTAACCTGTTGCGCCATTAGTGGCCACCCTTAAAAAAAAAGTTTAAAAAAATGTTTTAATCAGTCATCATAGCAAGCATAATACTCTTCTGAGTGCCTTACATATGTCAGCTGACCCCGTCCTCACAGAGGAAACCGAGGCACAGGGAAATTGAATCAGTCACTGAGGTCACTCAGAAAGGAGGTCTCAGGGCCAGGACTAGAATGCAGGCAGCTGGCTCCAGAGTGCATGCCCTTCACTCCTCCAAGCTGTCTCTCAGGAAGCATCTTCAGTTCACTTAGAAGACTGTGGCCATGCCCGTGGCCAAAGAGAAAACGGACATAGGAACAAAGCCACAGACAGGGCAGATCACGTAGCTCGCTCGCACTCTCTCTCTCTCTCTTTTTTTTTTTTTTTTTTTAAGATTTACTTTATTTATTTGAGAGGAAGAGTTACAGAGAAAAGGTAGAGACAGAGAGAGAGAGATCTTTCATCCTCTGGTTCACTCCCCCAAATGGTTGTAATGGCCTGGACTGGGCCAGGCCGAAGCCAGGAGACAGAGGAGTTTCTTCCAGGTCTCCCACATGGGTGCAGGGGCCCAAGCTAGCACCTGGGCCATCCTGTGCTGCTCTCCCAGATGCATTAGCAGGGAGCTGGATCAGAAGTGAAGCAGCCAGGACTTGAACCAGTGCCCATATGGAATGCCGGCACTGCAGACAGCAGCTTAATGTGCTACGTCACAATGCCAGCCCCCGTAGCTCTATCTTAAAGGAGATTGCTTTGGGCAGTGAAACCTCGGAAGGCAGACTATCCCCTCTGATTTGGGAAACCAGGTGTATCCATCCCATATGATTTGTCTTCTTTTTAGATGTTCCTTCTTAGGGAGCCCCCCATGCTTGCCTTGTCCTCAGCGCCAAGCCAGCTACCCTGGGTGGACCGCAAGTTCGAACAGGCCTGGACACCTGCCAGCCTTGGTATTTCAGCCTTTGAGCCTCCCTTCATCACATGGGAAGAGCCAGACATTTGGCTGGCTCTTACGTAGTTCTCCGTGTGTTTGTTTACCCATTCAACAAGTGTTTATTGAGCACTCACTCTGTGCCTGTGGGGACCACAGCCAAGCCACGTGCTTCTCGCTGGAGAGCCAGCTGTGCCCACAGTCAAGTCCCCGTCCTCATGGACCTCACGTTCTGGACAGCAGAGGTAAGCAGTGAGCAAATCTGTACCCGGGCGGGGGTGCTAAGTGCTAAGGCGCTGAGGCTGGCAAGATAAGGAGCACAGAGGGGACTTGTTTGTGACTCAGCTGCACGGGAGCAGCTTCATTGACGAGTGACGTTTGAGCAAAGACCTACAAAATACAAA